GGGTTAGGGCTCTGAAGTTTAAGGTTTGGGAAATGCTTGCTGTGAGGCAAACCCTCCTCTTGGAAATTTCCAATGTGGATTAACTTGTGAAAGGTTCTTAGAGGTCCTGCAATAAAGACGCCTATCTAACTTTGTTTAACCCAGTGTTTCTCCCAGAGTGTTTTACTTTGGAACACTTTGTCTTTTTTACATCATGAGAAATGGTGTTTCTTATATTGTGCTTTAAAAAATATGATAAAATGGGCGGTGCCTGTGGCTCAGTGAGTAGGGCGCCGGCCCCATGTACAGAGGGTGGGGTGTTCAAACCCAGCCCCGGCCAAACTGCAACAAAAAATAGCTGGGCCTTATGGTGGGCACCTATAGTCCCAGCTACTCAGGAGGCTGAGGCAAGAGAATCGCCTAAACCCAGGAGTTGGAGGTTGCTGTGAGCTGTGATGCCACAGCACTCTACTGAGGGTGACAAAGTGAGACTCTGTCTCCAAAAAAAAGAAAACAATATGATAAAATATAGCATTTATCATCTTCACCATTTTTAAGGGTACATTTCAGTATGCAGTACTCACATTATTGTGCAATGTCCAGATCTTTTTCATCTGACAAAACTGAAACACCATACCCATTAAGCAACAACTCCCATTTCCTCCTCCCTCCAGCCCCTGGCAACCACCATTCTACTTTGTTTCTATACATTTGCTTATTCTAAATACCTCATATAAGTAGAACCATTCACCTTTTTGAGACTGGCTTATTTCACTTGGCATAATGTCCTCAAGGTTCACCCATGTTTTAGGATGCATCATTTCCTTCCTTTAAAAGGTTGAATAATATTGTCTGTGTATACCACACTTCACTGATCCATTCAGCTGCTGCTGATGGGTATTTAAATTGCTTCCACCTCTTGGCTATTGTGAATAACTGTGCTATACACATGGGTGTACAAAACTACCATTAATGTTTTATGCTGTTTTTATGCTGTCTACATAGCCCTTCCTTTATCCATCCAATCTTTTTTATGTATTTCAAAATAAGTTGCACATCTCAGTAAACTTCCCTTAAACACATTGATATGTAAATGCCCAGAGTTCAATATTTGCTTTTTCAAGTTCATAGTATGAGAATAAGGTGGCCTTTATGGCACACACAACACATGTATTCACTACAGTAAACCTCCTGGGAGATTGGAAAGGCCCCTTTGTTGGTCTTGTCATCTGGGTTAAGACAAAACCAAATAACAATCACTATTTAGTAGCCCAGGATAATACGGGCTGCATAACACTTTCATCATCCTGCTCAGAGCAGGACCGTGGCTAACCAGTTATCTGGTGATGTCTTCAATTCTTCTCCACTGGAAGCCTTCAGGCTGTGGTCCTGGATTCACTATAATCATCTCAGTGGGCTCAACTTTCTAAGAAACATGTTTTGTCTCTGCTAATACCTTGTTCTGGTTTTAATGCTCTGTAGAGTTAAAATCCTGCTATTAATGTGACCAGCTCACCCAGTGATGACAACAGGTAGCCTAGAAACTGTTCCCACTTCCAGAGGCTCCCTTCCCAGAAAGCTACTGCCTGCCTTCAGAATAGCTCTTCTTAGATGTGGTTCCTTGGTCACTAGAGAACCCTAAATTCCTATTTCTTCAGTTTCCCAGAAGCTCAACGGGTTTCATAAACACAAAGACAGGCCAAGTTAAGAACCAGAACATCTGCACAATTAATAAAGACCACACGAAGTCAGGGCAGCACCAGCAAAAGGACGGACAAAGAGCCCCCAGCTCCAATTAATCTGCCAATGTCCATGAGGTTTTCTGCCTGTAGATTCTGGGGCCATAATTATAAGTATTATACCTAAAGGGATAAAAGCCTGTTCTGGAAAAAGATCAAATGTAAATTCTTGGTTCGGGACCCAGCACTCAGTTTTTAACCAGCCCGCCAGGTGATTCTGATGTATGCAAAAGTTTAGAGACAACTAGGATTTGCTGATGTCACACACAACAAAAAATGTGTAATTTAAGAGAATAATTTTAGGGTGGCGCCTGTGGCTCAGTGAGTAGGGCACCGGCCCTGTATACCGAGGGTGGCGAGTTCGAATCCAGCCCCGGCCAAACTGCAACAAAAAATAGCCGGGCGTTGTGGTGGGTGCCTGTAGTCATAGCTACCTGGGAGGCTGAGGCAAGAGAATCACCTAAACCCAAGAGCTGGAGGTTGCTATGACACCAAGAGTGACAAAGGTTGCTATGTCTACCAAGAGTGACAAAGTGAGACTCTGTCTTTAAAAAAAAAAGAATGATTTTGTGCTTTTACTTCTTAATTTGCAATCATTTCTGTTTCCCCTGAGGTTACTAGGAAGACATGGTAGAGATGCTGGCTATTGTAACTGTGCTATGCACATGGGTATATAAAATACCCATGTTGTCTTAGGCAAACATGTATCCCCCGGTCAACTCTCCTTCATCTAGCAACATAGTACACTTCAGGTTTAGGCTGGGGCTTGGCATAAATCTGAAGTTTGATGCTATGAGCCAAGCAGAGAGAGGCAATGTAAAGGGGAGGACAGCCTGAGGGTTCTGAAATACTCAGCTCCTCTGGAGCCAGGGCCCCAAACTGTCTCTTGCTTCTGATACTATGAATTACTGCAGTGTGGTCCCAAGGGTGCTCTTCAGCAGATTAAGCCGTGAGTGTATAAACATGTATGAATTATAAGGCAGCCCAAATGTATTCCAAGTCCTCTGAACAATTACTGAGTTGAATTACACAGGTGAGTCTGAAGAAAGATACCTTAGCATAACTTGGGAAAATTGTCAGTTTGGGAGCTTAGTCTCTCCAAGGTGAGGCCTGCTTGCAGGTAACCTTATGGGGTTGAGTTCTGCACTGGAAAAGGCGCTAAAGAACTGACTTTATCTGCTGAATCTTCTCTGGGATCCTGTACGTAGAACAAGTCCCCATGTGCCAACGTGGGTAAAGATTCTTCAGCTGATAAACAGGGAAATGGTAATCAGGGCAGGGCATTCTGGTCTCTGGGCTTGGGATGTTCAGATGACTGCCTTGGTGCACATGTAGTCACACACAAACCTCCAGCTGAAGACACAGGACAAGTGTATACAGATGCAATTTTCTAGAAGTACGCTGTCCAAATGAGGATGGCCACTAGCCACATGTGGCTATGGAGCACTTAAATTTGGCTAGTCTAAATTAAGATAGGATTTAAGTATAAAATATCTCACTAATAATTGCTTCTCAGCCTTTTGGCTAAGATCAAGTGAAAATATCTCACTAACAGTTTTTTTGTATTGTGTTTTGGGTTTTTTTTTTTTTTTTGGAAACAGAGTTCACCCTGGGTTAAGTGCCACAGTATCATAGCTCACAGCAACCTCAAACTCTTAGGCTCAAGCAATCCTTTTGCCTCAGCCTCTCAAGTTACGGAGACTATAGGCACCCACCACAATGCCTAGCTGATTTTTCTATTTTTAGTAGAGATGGCATCTGCTCTTGTGTAGGCTGGTCTTGAACTCCTGAGCTCAGGCAAACCATGCACCTCAGCCTGCCAGAGAGCTAGGATTATAGGCATGTGCCACCATGCCCAGCCTATATTGATTATATGTTGATAAAATATTTTGGATAGAAATGTATCATTAAAAGAAATTTTACCAAAAAAATAATAAATTTCATCTGCCTCATTTCATTATGTGGCTACTAGAAAATTTAAAATTCATATGTAAATGACACTATGAAATACAGTGAACTAGAAACACTGTATTTAAAGCTGAGCACAGTGGCTCATGCCTGTAATCCCAGAGATTTGGGAGCCTCAGGTGGCAAGACTGCTTGAGCCTAGGAGTTTGAAACAAGGCTGGGTAACACAGCAAGATTGCATCTCTAAAAAATGTCTATTTAATTAGCTGAGCATAGTCTATAGTCTCCTGCCAGGAAGAAGCCTGATGTAGGAGAATCATTTGAGTCCTGGAGTTCAAGTGAGCTACTGCTGCACTTCTGCACTCCAGCATAGGTGACAAAGCAAGGCCCCTGTCTCTTAAAAAAAAAAAAAAAAAGAAAAGAAAAAAGAAACATAAATAGCACTGATCTAGAAACCTCATCAGGCAAAAAACCTTAACTTCCTTTGGAAGCAAAATATGTTAGACGATGGCATAAACTCCCACCAAGAAAATCCCCACCTTCTTCTTTCAACATATTCGTATATAATATATTCATTTAACTGCCAATTCGCCAGATGATTCTATATTCCAGCATGGTCAGAGCAGGCCTCCACTCTCATCCATCTTCATAGCACCTCTCATGTCTTCCCTTAACCTCCACTCTCACCTCTCCTGGCCTGGCTCTAACCCTCAGGTGACACAACCCACTGTTCCTAACACCCTGTTCCTCCTTCTGCGTCCTCTCTAGGGAACAAACATCCTTTACTCTCATACCTTCAGCTATCACATAAATTCAGATGATTCAGGGCTCTACTTTTTAGTACCTACCATCTATCAGCTTAAATATCAGTTTACTTAAAGTAAAACCCTAAAAGAAGAACCTATGTACCTGGAAAGGATTGGCTACAGTTCAAAACTGCAACTGCCTGCCAAGTTCCTAGAATGACTGGCATATACCGGGAAGGAGGGGATCAAGACAGAGTCAGCCCACCTTGTGTGGTATGTTTATTTACAAAGAATGTTAAAATAAAACTGAGTAGTCTGGGTTTCCTCTCTTTTTATTTTTTATGTCTATCTTCTAAAGAGGGTAATAAATAATGAAATGTCCCAAAGTTGGGCAAATGAATAGGACCAAAATAACATAAAATCAGGCAAATCTAGTCAGGAAGAAAGAAGAGTGGTTCTTAATCTGAACAGAAAGTTTCCAGGTCCAAGAAAAAATGTGCAACATTCTGAGTGTACATGCACACACTGCTGATAAGGAGAAGGGTCCACAGCTTTCCTCAGATTGCAAGGGTGTAGCACCCAAATAAGGACTACTCTATCTAACTTGAAAATGAAACTCAATGCAATGAGGTAAAGAAAGGTGATCTATTTACATGATAAATATCTTAAAACAGCAATGACTGCACGCACATAGTTATTTAGTCCATTACAGCGCACATCTGTTAACTCTGTAGATCTTCACAGTGTGATCTTCGCCACAACTTGCAAAATGTAACCACTCTGAACCCTCTGCTTCACTCTGGTCAGTGTTTCCACTGCAATTCTTCCAGCATAGTTTCTTAATAGCAAGTGTGTGACTTTGGCTAAAACAAAGACAGAGAAAAGATGAAATTAACATAGATTATGACCATAAAACATTTTACTGGGTCCCTCCTTACATATTAATTAGTATGCTCTTACTATTAATGGTATGAACATGAGAAGTCAGAACTTGAAAATTAAAATATACATGTTTTTAGCAACTTTAACCTTGAAAATATCTTACTCTACTTACTTAAAACTGTACAACTAAATATCTTATATATTAGCCCAGAACACCACCAAAAAGAGCAAGAAACAATGAATTTCTGTCGAATGTTATTTTAATGACCAGCTGAATTCATGAAATAGCTGTTAAAAAGTCACTCTTTCAGATAACATTACTAAATATAGTTTTTCCTAAGGATTTTCATTTTGCGATATATTCTTTTGACATCTCTGTGAGATGGATGGAGTCTCACTTTTTTACTGCTGGGTAAAGAAAGACAATGAATAAACGAATTAGCTGCCCAGTGACAGAGTCCTGGCCTAACTGCACAACCTTGGGCAAGACAATCAGAGTAATCCTCCCTCATCAGCCCCCAGCCTCTCGAAAAGGCAGACCTGGAATGCTACCAAAACATAGATTAGTAACAAATCTTTATGAAAATACAACAGCCTCTGTAAATTTAACCTGCAAATTAGCTCCTCAAGACTAAAGGGAATAAGGTGAAAAACCTAAGTAGGTTTTAAGGCAGTAAACACTAAAAACAATACTTTTATTCTAACTTGAAAAAGCACAGAAATTATACTTCAGACCCTGATAGTCTCTGTCACCAGATGCAACCTCACGATATAAAGATACAAATGAAGTATAAATCATGAGGTAACAAAACACATCTTTAAAATCAGCCCCCCAGACCCTATGCAACCAAATGACTATGTTTCCCTTTCAAGGAGTCACTCTGGGACAGTGGTTCTCAACCTGTGGGTTGCTGTATTAAAGGATCACGGCATTAGGAAGGTTGAGAACCACTGCTATGGGAGGTTACAATAATGCTGCTGTGCCTCAAATGTTCTCTGAAATTGTTCTAGAGGAAATGCGTCCATATTATGCAGAGCTGACTTGAGTACTCTCAATGACATCTAACCTTCCTGTGAGGATGAATTTGATTATTCAAAACAGCTAAAAGTGATTTGGAGGTGACTTTTATAAATAAATACAAATAGCAGGCTTCATAAATATGAATGGGAAGCTTAAAAAGCAAATGATCAAAATGAATGATACTATAAAAAGTATTATAATGAGTTTTCTTGTGTCACTAGTAAGCTAATTCTGAAGATAATTCCTAAAGAGAAGTTTCAAGTACATTATAAGTGACAGCAACACCACGGGGTCTTATTTATTATTGATCAATATTAAAGTTATTCCATTTCATTAGAAGAGTGATTTCCACTAGTGATGTCATTGAAATAAACATATATACAGAGGCTGCCCAAAAATGAATGCAGATTTCAAGAAAGAAAAACACTACATTAAAATACTCAATATACACTGATTGTGACCTTGTATATTGTTATCTCATATCTCTTGTAATTGCAGAAGTCAAACATGACTTGAGTATTACAATTTTAATATAGCTTTTCCCTCTCTTAAAATGTGTATACATTTTTTGGCGCCCTCTGTGGTTTATATTTCTTTTCAAGGGATTTACTTTGAGGGATTGTACTTATTTGGCTATGCAAGCTTTGAGATGGTAGCTTTCTTTTGGGGGGGAGGGTAATGTCCTTCAAATCCAGCATACTAACACATCAATCACATTTAGAATGCGTGGGTTTGGGAGCCAATCTAAAAGGCAGTGTTTGCCTATCCCACCACTACCTTTGTATGTTATTACTAACAAAAACTTTAATTTGAAAAGTACTTGAAATTTGGTAACTGGAATATTAGTAATCCAAATAAAAAAACGTGTTAAATCAGAAATTAGTTCCATCTTGCAAATCCTAAGTTATCATACTGACCAAAAAAAAAAAAAAAAGCGTAGCCATATACAGCGAGGGTGGCAGGTTCAAACCTAGCCCAGGCCAGCTAAACAACAATGATAACTGCCACAAAAATAGCCAGGGGTTATGGTGTGCACCTGTAATCCCAGCTACTTGAGGGGCTGAAGCAAAATAATCACTTAAGCTCAAGAGTTTGAAGTTGCTGTGAGCTGTGACACCACAGCACTCTACTGAGGGTGACATAGTGAGACTCTGTCTCAAAAAAAAAAAAAAACCTACTGTAGTCAAATTCTAAAACACATCATTATGAAAATCACTGCTTGTTTATAAAAACAATATTATGCAAATAAGAAATGTGGTCAAGCAAACTTTTAAAAATCAAGTACAACATAATAACAAACATGAATTTCAGGAGATTACCACAGAACAAAGCAGTACCATTTAGTAGTAAGCATGATGAAGACAGATATTCATCCTTCTCCATGGAAATATGGCATAAAATTTGCTTCTAAAAACTCCATAGTTTCAGCCAGGCATGATGGCCCATGCTTGTAATCCTAGCACTCTGGGAGGCTGAGGCAAGTGGATCTCTTGAACTCAGGAATTCAAATCCAGCCTGAGCAAGAGCCAGACCCTATCTCTAAGAAACAACCAGGTGTCGTGGCAGGTGCCTAAAGTCCCAGCTAATCAGGAAGTTGAGGTAACAGAATCACCTGAGCCCAAGAGTTTGAGATTGCTGTGAGCTGTGACTCCATAGCACTCTACTGAGGGAGACAAAGTAAGACTCTGTCATAAAAACAAAACAAACCAAAACAAACAAAAGACCCCATAGTTTCCATCTAATGTAACTGATGGAAGCAAAAATAGGAAGAAAATACCTTTGACTCGTTTCTACACATTGGATCCAGTCATTTATTTCTGGAACTTGATCGGTCTTTTTCCAGGTATATAAGCAAATCTTTCCACACTCCAATCCTACTGCAACCACATATCTGTTTTTAAGGGAGAGAGATGACAATCTTTAAGCAGGAATTTGTGTTATTTCCTTCATCACGCAAAAGAAGTTCAGAGTCCCAACTATCTCTAACTTACAAAAGACACTGTTTCAAGCATCAGCCTAGGACACACTGCACTGCTCTACTGTGTCCCCAGGGAGGCTTTTTGCTATACAGAGTTTGCACACTGGTTAACCACTTTCCCCTGCTGACAAAGCCCATGAGCCATTGTTTCCCTGGCTGGCTGCAGGGACTCTTGGTCCACTGAAGATGCTCGTTATAGAAAAGGCGTTATGCTACAGTTGGTACCCATACAGTAGTTACAGTGCCGGCCAAATACACCAAGGTTGGCAGGTTCGAACCCAGCCCAGGCCTGCTAAAACAACAACAACTACAAAAAAACAAAAACAAAATAGCCGGGCATTGTGTCGGGAGCCTGTAGTCCCAGCTACTTGGGAGGCTAAGGCAAGAGAATCGCTTAAGCCCAAGAGTTTGAGGTTGCTGTGAGCTGTGATGCCATGACACTCTATCCAGGATGACAGCTTGAGACTGTCTCAAAGAAAAAAAAAGAAAGAAGAAAAGTACTACAGTCATTTGGTGACTAAGAACCTTCAAATCACATTCCTAATCTCTATTCTGCTATTCTGAATTGCCAAGTTCTAACAATTTAAAAATTCTTAGGAGAAACACAAGTATTTTTTAAAAATCGGCAACTCAGACAGAAGCTAAGAGAACCCCCAAAAGAAATTGTGAGACGTCTGTGTACTGAGAAACCAGGCAGCTTGTTCAGAGAAACATAAAACGAAGCCCCCCACAGACTAACCGTTGGGAAGAGCTGAACATTGGGCAGACACTGACGGCTGTCACAGCGCCCCCTACGTCCAGGACCGAGGAGCAGGGGCCAATGTTGTGCTCGATGCAGTCATCACTGGCGTCACATTCTCCCCAGACAACAACCTAACACAGATCACACTCTGTAGACCTTTCCCTTTGCAAGGCTTCTAGCAATGCATTAGAACAGCGTTTCTCAACCTGTGGGCAACCCACAGGAACTGTATGAAAGGTTTGTAGCATTAGGAAAGTTGAGAACCACTGCATTAGATTTTCAATGGTACAGAGATAACACAAGATACGTGCTTTAGTATTTTAAAAAATTCAGCATGTACATTTGTCTATGATGTTCCAGGACTTCAGAGCATCAAGCTCCAAAGAAAAAGGGTAGCAGACCCAAGTCTCTGAGGCCTCAGTTACCTAGGTGTGTTGATCCTTCCCAGAGACTGGGGGGGAGGGCCTAGCATGCCTTTTTCACTCATAGATCAATTCTGATCCAGTTACGTACCTTTCCCTGTGTCCTCACCCAGGGCCTCATGCATCTCCCTGAGAGGTTACCCTCAAATTCAGAGGGACTAATTCAGTCTATAGCTCTTCCTCTATTCCATCCATCGCTTGGGGAATCAACTCAGCTATCAGGAGGCCTAACCCTGATGATACCCCTTATAAGAAATGGGGCTTCCCTGGAAGCTCATGCCTCATAAGTATGAGACTGGTCATGAAGAAATGGAGAGGGACGTAAAGCAGAATGTAGGACCAAAGCAAGCCGGAGCAGAAGGCTTTGTCCCAGTAGGCAGCAGCATGTTTTGGAACACATGCTTTGTCTGCTGCAGCCAGACCTTCCCTGAGTGTGGCACTGGACCACCTTTGGGGTTCGACTGTGGAGGACAGAAGCAGTTCTGCTTGCTCAGCATTTAGCAGGGACAGGCAAATAAATGCCAAGAAAGAAATAAATAGGCAAATGAACAGGAGGGCAGGTCTGAGAGATGCCAAAGAGGCTGACCTGAAAGTGCTTTACCTGAGTGACTCCATACCTGTGCTAGCCCTCCCTCTGCTTCAGTTATCTGTACTGTGTCTCTGACTAAAGAAGGCAGGGAGAGGAAAGGAATACTGAACTGTCTGCAGGAATGCAGAAAAAGCAAAGGGCACTTTACAAAGTTCAAAAACAGAGGAAAGACCGGAGGCCAGGTCAACATTTTCTCCAGAACAAGGGTGGAGGTCATGTTCAAGAGCATATTGCTAGCTAACTTGTTCTGACTTTCTTCCAAGTTTGGGGAGATATGTGTACCACTGAATAAAAACAGTCATCCATCATAGGAAAAATGTTAAATTTATGTAAATACAAATCAGAAAACCAGAAATGGTTTTTCCCTGTATCCCCCCAATGCCCCTCTTGCCCTCCTAGTTTCTTAGTCTTGATCCATTTCATTTATTGTTCTTCTTTCACTGAGACCATTTGATGAAGGTCAAGTGTCCTGAAAGCTCTTCTCTCTTCACATTTTCAGTATTTCAGAGACATGTATAAAATTTAACAAGTAATAAAAGCCTTTTTAAATGCATATAAATGAAAAACACAGAAGGGAATAAACAGATTTTTTTCCCTTTAATCCAGACAGAGGCTGGATAAGGGAACTCATTTTTAAAAGTTGTATCCGAAAGGCAGTATTGTATTTTTTTTATTCAAGTATACCTATACAAACATTATTTTACATTTGAAAAAATATTAAGTTGTTTAAAAAATTACCTTTTTGTCCCGACTCCCGGTAAAGAAATACTTGCTGTCAGGACTCCAATCACAAGACCAAATAATTCTACTATGCACAGAAGTAATTTTGTTGGTAAAAGCAAAGAGACTAAAAATTGGATCTGAAAGAAATTTGTACACACCACTCACAAAGCAGAAAAAAACTTGTATTTTTTTACCATTAGAAAGCTATGTTTAAGGGCAACATATATCATATGACTTAGTCATCAATTTAATATGTGTTGACTTTTACAAGAGACTGAAGCCAGGCAACTAACCCCTCAGCAGAAGGCTGTGAGCATATGGCTACTTTTCTAGTAGGGAATAGGTTTTTTTTTTTTTTTTTTTTTTTTTAAGACAGAGTTTTACTATGTTGCCCTCGGTAGAGTGCCATAGTGTCACAGCTCACAGCAACCTCAAACTCTTGGGCTTAAGCAATTCTCTTGCCTCAGCCTCCCAAGTAGCTGGGATTAAAGGCACCTACCACAATGCCCAGCTATTTTTTGGTTGTAGCGGTCACTGTTGTTTGGCAGGCCTGGGCTGGGCTGGGCCCCGCCAGCTCCAGCGTATGTGGCTGGCACCCTAGCTGCAGAGCTGCAGGCTCCAAGCCTCTAGTAGGGAATGCTTTTACATTGACTAGTCCCCTCTAGTGACTAATGACAAACATCTTCCACACACTCAAAGTTCAGTTTATACCTATGAATGAAGCCAAATCAATTTAACCTTACTCAAGAAGTAGCTAGATTTGCATGTCAGGTTACAGGAAAAAGATTGTACTACTTACATAATGTTTTTTAAAAAACTTTAATATTTTCCTCGTAAACTTTAAATGTAAGTTCCCTATTATCCCTTATTTGCACTAAATCAAAAATATATAACTGCTTATGAGGAGATTGGAATGGGAGTGTATCTATTAATCTACAATCTACAAAGACACAACAAATTAATAAATATGTTAATAGCATCCCTTTAGCTTCTTAAAAAGTAAATGTTTCATGTTAGGATATCACTAGTGCTGTAAAGAAAATAGTCTGTTCTAACTCATATTGCTGAGTATGTTTTACAGTCCCTGGTATTCTCTAAAATACAAGATACTAAGAACTGGAAATATTATAAAATCAAATTGTATGCAAGTCTTATCAACAGAAGAAGAAAAAACAGGAATAAACAACACAAATACACTTTTTTTCCTGAGATAAAATTTCACAAAGTTGCCCAGGTGGACTAAAAGAAGTAGGCAATCAGGCAATCCTCCCACCTCAGCCTCCCGAGTAGCTAAGACTATAGGCCTGCATCTCCGTGTTGTGCTTACAAATATACTTTAACACTCTCCAGAATTTACCCACTGAAAGAAACTGGGAGAAATAGGAATAGGCCCCTGCTACAACAACACAAATGTTTTGTTCCTTTCTTTTTTTGTCATTTATGTCAGGCTCAGAGGGGAATGTGGGTCAGTGGGCTGACCCCTTGCCCAGGGGTCATGTTATCCACAGATGCATAACATACTCTTCCCCATGATCAAAGTGACAGGGGAGGGCAGGAAAAGGCTAAGGATAATAGCACCTCCAAGTTTCACATTTTAAAATATTACAATACTTATAAAATAGTTCAGAGAAGAAGCCACTCAACTTCAAATTTTCTTAGTTGTATTTTCGTAAAATCCTAGCTCAGAAAAATCATCTAACTGATTTTATGATAGCATTCTCTAACCATTGACAAAATTTAGCTGCCTACACATAGATTTTTCTTTTTCTTTAACTGAGATATTCAAACATAAACCATCCTGTCTACATAACTGCAAAATGGTCAACCCAAAGACAACCTCCATTTAAATTTTACAAGGTCAAGTCTTCCTCAGTTATCCAAGAACTTCAAAAGGCTTCACACCCATGAGGTTCTACCCTTCACTTTATCTTTCTCTTAACTAAACAACTGCTTAAAGTGGATAAAACAAACAAAACAGCTTCACTAATAACCTTCCCAATCAGGAACTAGTTTACCAAACTCAGGCGAGATTGTATCCTGTCTTTTCCACAATGACCAGGTTCGATCTCTGGAAACAGCTAGTAGGAACTTGTCATTAGGTGAGAAGGCCATCTGGGTGACAGTCAAACTGTGGAAAACTAAATTCTGCACCTGTTTCCAAGATGTAGTGTTCCAAAGAATGATGGCTGCATGCTCCTTCTTAGCTGCCTGTAGGATAGAAATGAAACAATAAAGCTCTTTAAGTAAAAATAAACTGTAAATAAAAGAAATAGTACTTTATTTCTATGAATATATTTTATGTATCTGTTTAAATGCAAAAAAATAAAAATAAAAAAAAATTTGAGCCAATAACATACTACAACCAGGGCTATTCTCTGGGAAGAATCAGAGAAGACTGAGAGTAGAAAAGATAAATCATCAAGGACTGATGATGTTTTCACTTTTTATAAGAAATATATATTTATTTGTATATTAACTGTTAATACACAATAATTAACAGAGACTTTCGCTTCTGGTCAATATGGGATAACAGGTACAAGGTTTACTCTCTTGGATGAAAATAGTAAAAAAGCCAGACAAGCTATGGTCCTCCAATATGCATCTGGCAACAAAGAACATTGACGCCTGAGAAATAAAACAAATGCGGATAGGGGAAAGCATTATTGCACTGTGCATCAACTTCAACAAACAAATATAATCAAAATCTCCAAAAGAATAAGATGAATAAATAATGCGTGAAAGGACAGTACCTGATAAATTTCAAAATTCGATGAAAACAATACACCTATAGGTCCAGGAAATTCAATGAACTCAAGGACAAGAAACATGATGCAATTAATACCAACAATAATCAAACTTTTTAAAACCAGCAATGAATATAAAATTATAGAAGTAGGTGGAGGGAAATAAAAAACCCATTACAGAGGAACAGAGAAAAATTACTAGACCAATGTAAGTCAAAAGAAAATGGAGCAACATCTTTAACATATTAAAGAGAAAACTACTGTTGGCCAGGGGTAGTGGCTCCCACCTGTAATCCTAGCACTCTAGAAGGCTGAGATGGGTGGATTGCTTGAGCTCTTGAGTTAGAGACCAGCCTGAGCAAAAGTGAGACCCCGTCTCTACTAAAAATGGAAAAACTGAGGCAGGAAGATTGAACCTAAGAATTGGAGGTTACTGTGAGCTATGACACCACAGCACTCTACCCAGGCAACAGCTTAAAAAAAAGAGAGAGAGAAAACAACTGTAAACCAAGAATTATTTACCTACCATAAATATCCTTTAAAAATGAAGGAGAAAATAGACTTTTCAGACAGACAAAAGCTAAAAAAATTTATGACTGGCAGAAGTACATTATAAGGAATGTTAAAGAATGTCATTCATATAGCCCAAGAAGAAGGGAAAAGGAGAGATGGAGGGGAGGGGAGGGGGGAGGTTGGGTGGAGGGAGGATTCCGTGGTGAGACCACATCTACAGCGTATCTTACAAGGGTACATGTGAAATTTACTAGGTGTAGACTATAAATGTCTCAACACAATAACTAAGAAAATGCGGTGAAGGCTATGTTAACCAGTTTGATGAAAATATTTCAAATTGTATACAAAACCAGCACATTGTACCCCATGATTGCATTATTGTACACAGCTATGATTTAATTAAAAAAAAAAAGAGAATGTCATTCAGGCAAAAGAAAATGGTATCTGGCTCGGCGCCTATGGCTCAAGTGGCTAAGGTGCCAGCCACATACACCTAAGGTGGCAAGTTCGAATCCAGCCCGGCCCACCAAACAACAATGATGGCTGCAACCAAAAAATAGCCAGGCGTTATGGCGGGCGCCTGTGGTCCCAGCTACTTGGGAGGC